TTCGGTTTTACCACCAGTGTGTGCTGTTCTTTGCCCTCACTGTTAAGCTTGGGTTTGTTTGCTGGAGTGACTCGGTGTAAAGGTTTTACTTTGCACTGGTATTTTTGTCTCCTCTGTCCCATCCTTTGCATGTTCTGTGCTTTGATTTTTTTTTTTTTCTTTTTTGGCTAGTTCTTCTGAGCCTGTTTTCACTGTCCACTCTTTGTTGTTTTTTGAGACAGGGTCTCATTATATAGCCCCATCTGGCCTGGAACTCTCCATGTAGACCAGGCTGGCCTCGATCTCACAGAGGTCTGCCTGCTTTTTCCCCACAAGTTCCGGGATTAGAGAGGCATGTGTCACCACACCCAGCACTACCTTTCTCATTAAATAACTCCCCTACCTTTCCCATCCACCTACCTCCAATGTCTTCAGCCTAAATTCTGCCTTCTCTCAGCCCAACCTCTCCTCCCTTCCTCTCCCCAGGTAGAGAAAGAGCAGCTAGAGGAAGCTCTGAATGCTGCCCGGGAGGAGGAGGGGAGCCTGGCAGCAGCCAACCGAGCTCTGGAGATCCGGCTGGATGAGGCCCAGAGGGGGCTGGCACGCCTTGGGCAGGAACAGCAAGCCCTGAACCGAGCCCTAGAAGAAGAGGGGAGGCAGAGGGAGGCTCTCCGAAGGAGTAAGGCAGAGCTGGAGGAGCAGAAGCATTTACTGAACAAGACCGTGGACCGATTGAACAAAGAGGTAAACATGGGCTGTATGTACCCTCAGGAAGAGGTATGAGCCCTGAAGAAACCAACCTGGAAGTGGGTCAGGATGTGTGACATTCATTTTTCTCAAATTTTACTTTCTAAAAAAGGCTCTTATTATTATTATTTATCATCATCATCATCATCATCATTATCTTGGTTCGTTTTTTGAGACAAGGTCTTTCTTCGTAACCCCAGCTGTCCTGGATCACTATGTAGACCAGGCTGGCGTTGAGCCCACAGAGAGCCACCTGCCTCTGTCTCTCAAGTGCTGGGATTAAGGGTGTGTGCTGCCATGCTTGGCCCTAATTATTATTTTTAAATTAGGTCTATATATCTGTGTCTGTGTGTGCATGTGAGTGCAGTATCCCAAGAGGTCGGAATAGGGCATCAAGACTCCTGGAGCTAGTTACAGGCAGTGTGGGGCTGCCCAGTATGGGTGCTAAAAACTGAACTCAGGTCCTCTGGAAGAGTGGTATGTACTCTTAACCACTGAGCCATCTCTCCAGTCCTCCCCCCCCTTTTTGGGGGGGGGAGGCAGCTCTCATATAGCTAAAACTAGCATTGACCTCTATAGGTGTGTGCTACCATGCCTAGCCAGAATGTGATATCCTACTTATGTGGCAGTCATTTTGTCCTGGGGCCTTCATTCTTGGAGTTTGCTTTAGGAGTGTAGAAGACCTAAACATAAGAATTGTCCCTAAGCCGGGCGTTGGTGGCGCACGCCTTTAATCCCAGCACTCGGGAGGCAGAGGCAGGCGGATCTCTGTGAGTTTGAGGCCAGCCTGGTCTCCAGAGCGAGTGCCAGGATAGGCTCCAAAGCTACACAGAGAAACCCTGTCTCGAAAAACCAAGAAAAAAAAAAAAAGAATCGTCCTTAGTAAAGGTTTAACTTCAGGGAAAGGAAGAAGAAAAGAGAGATAAGGAAATCAAATTACTTCTGCTGGCAAGGTTCTTCCTCCTGATCTTATTTTTACAAAACAAGGTCAACTACTAGCAATGTCAATTTAGAAAACAAAACATTTTATTTTCTCTGAAATAACAGTTGAGGGTTTGTCATAATTCAGTTGGCAGATGTTCTTTTTCAGTGGCATATCTTATAACTGTGTCACCATGTTTGCAGAAATATGGTCAGTGAAGGTTTACTTAGTACCAGCCACTGTTAAAAGGGACTGGAGAGATGGCTCAGAGGTTAAGAGCACTGATTGCTCTTCCAGAGGTCCTGAGTTCAATCCCCAGCAACCACATGGTGGCTCACACAACCATCTCTAGTGGGATCTGATGCCCTCTTCTGGCCTGCAGGGATACATGCAGACAGAACACCGTATACATATAAACACTGTATACATATAATTAGCATAACTGGTGGTGCACACTAGCACTCGGGAGGCAGAAGCAGGCAGATCTCTGTGAGTTCGAGACCAGCCTGGTCTACAAGAGCTAGTTCCAGGACAGCCTCCAAAGCCACAG